AGTTGAAAGTTTGATGATTACCCCCTTCTTGCCTGTTGTAGCATTTGGACGACCATTACCCAAATTAACTCCGCAGTAAGTACAAAGGTTTTTTTTCCCCCCCCCCTCCCCTGTCAGGTAGCCTGCACTCCACCTCCTTTTTAGACCTCATGAAAGCCTAGATCTAAGGCAGAACAGGTGGCTTAGGGATAGCCATGGTTTTTTGGCAGTGGTAATTAGGAGGATTGCTTTTTGAGTTAGAAGTAGATTATTCAGTCATTTTAATAGCAAACTGTTTCTCTGGCTTTGAGGCAGGAAAGACCATCCAAACTTGGAACTTGGGAGTCAGAATTAGGAGTGGTAAGGGGCATATAACTCTTTTTTAGAGTTAATCTCATGTCCACACTGAATCCCTTCTAGTCTTGCAAGTTGATTTCCTTATCCTTTTTTTTTGCCAGGAATTTTGAGCTGCCCTGGTTGGATGAGCGTAGCCGATGCAGGTTGGAGATCCAGAAGAAGCAAACACCTCACCGGACGTGTAGGAAATAGCTGGGCTGGCAAGAACCTTCTGTCTTCAGATAGTTGTAGCATGCCATTCCCAGAGAATGGCAGAGACCTGTATATGTGACCTATGTCCTCATGTATGTTATCATTCGCTGATAATGCCCTTCCATAGTCCCTTGATCTTGGTTTTGTTTTCATCACTCTGATTTCACAAAAACTCTTCCATTGGGCTAATTGTGAATTATGGAGGATGATTGGGATTTCTTTTCCCTTTTTGGGAATATGAGCTCTCAAGCTAAATCTATAGGATGGCAGATTTAGAAGCCTCAGGGGTCTGCTTCTATACACTTGCCTATGTTAAAGGGGCAAAAGGGCTCTTTTCGTTCGACTTGTGGAAGATGAAGCAACCCCTGCCTTTAGAGCTGTGCCTGCATGGCACTCTTCACGCCCTGGTGTACCCTTCCTTATAGTTCTGAGTATAGTGATGTTTACCCGAAAACAAAACAAACAAACAACCAACCTCACCAGGAGCTTAAGGACCAGATGAGGAATAAAAAGTGAAGTGATGAAGCAAGTCATCTTCACAGGGTAGAAAAGAGATTCAAGAGTTGGCAGATACACGTCTGAAAAAACAGTTGTTCTCTTAAAACTATTCTGTGATACAGCCATGTGGGAAGGGATATTTGGCTATGATTATTTTGTAAGTTAATGGGTAACTGAATTTCTTCCCCCACCCCTCAAAAAAAATATTCAGAAAAAAGAATGGGGATGGTTAGTTTTGGTCAAGTTATGGCTCTAAACAAAAGCTATTGGCATCTGAGGATGGCATGCCAGAACCTGTACAGATGTCCTTGTGTCACATCACTTCTCAAGTATTCCTTAGTTGGGCTTTATTCTTTTAGCTGAGCTCTTGGTGGTGGGATAGAGATTTAGGGAGGGTGGGGGGGGTATGTGGAAATATGTGCTTCCTTTGGCTGGCAAATGTCTACATCTTGAAACAAACAGATGTACCTAATGAGCTTCTCCATTCACTTTGTAAAAATAGATTTGTATGTGTATCATCTTGGTCCCCCTTCCCCCCATTTTGTTAAAAAATTTCAGGACAGCACTCCAGGCCACTTTGGTCTCAGTGTAAGATCCCTGTAACTATCTGGAAGGAAAATAGAGCCAAGACCTCTGGTCTTAAATATATAGGAATTGCCTTTCTTTAGTCTTCATGACTATTGTGTGAAAACAAGTAGGGGTCTAATCTCCTAGAAGGTAGGGGCTTTTATCCTTGAAGAGAATATGTCCCCAGATTATTAGCACTTTTAGAGGAGAAGCCAAGGTATGTAGGGTGTGTGGCCGGCCCATCAGTGGAGCATGAGAGAATGGGGATACCATTGTGGGAAGAAAAGAAAAGTTCCTCAGGGGCCTCCCACTGCTAAAGATTTTTGTGAGATGTTGATCTGTGCTCCCTGAGTTTGACTTTTAAGGGAGTTATTCCGGCAGCACATGTAGTATTCTTGGATGATCTTGCTGCTTTTATTTCTCCTTCTGTGTGTGTGTGTGGCTATGGGCTTTCATTTGTAACTCCATCTGCTTAGGAGAGTGGGCTCTCCACAAGGGAACCTGCTGTGAACTTCATTGCAGCAAGAGTATAGAGAGAAATAGGACTTGTTCCACTAGGGGCTCTCATCTCACACCTTAAGGGGAGGAAGGAGATTTCTAGAAAAACTGGGCCAGATTTTCTTTGTTCTCCATCATTTTAATATGGCAAGCTGTTTGGCTTTCCTACTCTGATCTATGTTATGTTCCTTTATGATGTGCCCAAGAAGAAAAAAGACCAATCAGTGTCTCTTTACGTTGTTCCTTGATTCCTCTGTTTCTTCCTGATTTTCAGCATTTGTCGGATTCCTAATTTGGATATGGGTTAGCAAATTTAACCTTTTATGTTTGTGCCCTACCCAGGGAACTCCCAGGTTCTGAAATTGAGCTAGACTAAGAGGAATCCATGAGGTGCTATCTGGCCAGACTTAAGTGGATTCTATTTCCTTGGTTCTCCCTATACCTAGGACTGCTTATTTTATTGTCCCCTCTTCTAGATCAGTTCTCCTTTGATTTGGATGTGTTGAGGTTTGTTGAGGAGGTTGGAGAGTAGATTAGCAAAGTTCCAAGAGCGAAATTACAGTGTGTTAGAGTGTGGGGGGAAAATTAGTCTTATTTTTTCCCTACATGGGATACAACACTGTGAAATTCAATCTTCAACTACGGCCCTGCAATTCTCCTAAAACATAGTTCTTTGTTTCTTTCTTTAACAACGTTTAAGCTAGTGTTAATAAATTAAAAAGAGAAACTGCTTGTCTGTCCACTTCAGCTTTGTTTTATGCCCATTTCATATTGTTGTCTGTGTTGTAATTCATACTTTTGATACCATTTCTGATGTGTAAAATTGGTTGTCTTGTAAATATCTTATAAAGAGTTCAATTGTAAATAAACTATTGTGGCTGTTAATTTTTGAACTTCTGCTTCAATTTATTAGATTTATTGGGAAGCATTGAATAGTTCTGCTTGTAGATATTAAAAGATTAGAAAAAGAAAAGCATTTTCAAAAATGGAGAAACACATCGCTTCTCGGCCTTTTGGCTAAGATCAAGTGTAGTATCAAAAATGGAGAAACACACCATTTTCTCTTTTATTTGTGTATGAGCACAATGTATGTTTTTCATCCCTCTTTGTTCTGTGTTCTCTCTTCCACATGCGGTAAGTGGCAACTTTAAAAATGAGATTCTAGGGTAGGATACTTGGTGCCTGGTGTCTAAATGAATAAAACCTAGTTGAAAAGACCTTAGAGGTCATCTAGTCTGACCGCTAATACATGATTTCCCCTTGACAACATTCCAGACAAATGAAGTCCAGCTTCTGCCTCAACTTTTCATTTTTTCCCTAAATGTTAGAAAATCCTTCCTCAATGATAAAATCTAACTTTTTGTAACTCGAACCCATTGGTTCTTGGTTTGCCTTCCAGGGTGATGAAAAAAGATCAATTCTTCCTGTTCCTCATAGTCTCTTGAATAGTTAGATTGCTGTGGCTATCTCAAATCTTCTTCATGGTAAACATTCAGAGAGCTTACACTTGTTCCTCAAAAGCAAGGATTTTGAATTTTTCAGTTCCCTCTGAGTGAACAAGTTCATGTTCATTTAAAAATTGAACCCAGCCTTGGGACACCTGGGTGGCTCTTCAGCTCAGCTCAGGTCTTGATCTCACATGAGTTCAAGCCCCACGTTGGGCTCTGTGCAGGGTATGAAGCCTGCTTAGAAAAAAAAGAAAAATTGAACCCAGACCAAACAACTAAAAAGTAAAGTGGCAGGTTATCACTTTTCTTATTTACACACTAAACTTGGCAGCCTTATTTGCATCAATTTACCTTGTGATAGAAAAAGCCCTCCAAATCTTTTCCTCCTTTCCTTTTTCCTTTCCCTTTCCCCTTCTTTCCTCCATGCATACATCCTCCATTTTTGGACTCTGGAAGCTGGGTTTTGGAGCTGGATTTACAACATGTCACATTTGGCCACTTGTTAAGATCTTTTTGGATCCTGAATCTGTGAAGGCATTCAGAATGCCTTCTAGTTTCGTATTGTCTATAAATTTGGTAAACATCAGAATCTTTAACCATATACCTTGTAAAAATATTACATGGGATAGAATCCTGTACTATGCCATAGTGACTTTTCTCTGTTTGATATATATTATTAATGTGCACTCCTGTAGGTACACTAATACCTTACACAGCTTGAACGTATTTACTATGGTCCAAAGAAAATACACCTTTTTTTTTTTTTTTCACTGCTGGCAAATGCCTGGCCAAAATCAAAGCATTCCCCTCAGCTACCTGTCTGGTAACCCTTAAGAAGGAAATCATGTCAGGAAATTGAACCAACGGCAGTTCATCTTTTAAAATCGGTTCTAAATCTTGGTTAAGTCTAGCATCATACCAGCCTGCACTTTGGGAGAGGTGATAGCTGGGATGGGGGTGGGGGAGATACAAGAAGGAAGAGGAAGTGAGAAAACACGGTGTGCTGCAACACTAAGTCCTTGAGCTTCACTGCAGACAACCGGTTTCTCCTTCGCTCTTTAGCTTCAAATGGGCTGCTGTGGCAAATTCTGATGCACCACAACGACTTTAGAGGTTTACCTTCACTCGTGATTTTACTAAGCAAACGAATGCAGTAAAACGATCTGCTTCAAACGTAGGTAGAAACGAGAAACGGAAATAGAAAAGCCTGAAACAGCTCCAATGCCGCAGTGAAGCTGTGACAGGTGAGCGCCTTCGACTCGCAAGGCCCAAGATGGCTGGGCGAGGAACACCGCTACCCTCGCGGGGGCCTACCCCAGGCAAGACAGGGGTCGCGGCACGCCCCCCGCACGACACGGATTACGTAATCCCGCTCGCCGCAAACGTGCCGCAGGGTGCCCGCCCCTAGCCCCTCCTCCCGAAAAGCGCGGCGGCCAGTGTCGCACGTGAAGCATGCTGGGACTAGCTCTCAAGCCTCCCGGCAGCCCCTGCGACGGGCGCGGTACGTAAGGAGCTGGCCGGCGGCGGCCGTTCTCCGTAAAATGGCGGATCGTCGGCGGCAGCGCGCTTCGCAGGACACGGAGGACGAGGAGTCTGGCGCATCGGGCTCAGACAGCGGCGGCTCCCCGGCGCGGGGCGGCGGGAGCTGCAGCGGTAGCGCTGGAGGCGGTGGCAGCGGCTCTCTGCCTTCTCAGCGCGGAGGCCGAGCTGGGGCCCTTCATCTGCGGCGGGTGGAGAGCGGGGGGGCGAAGAGCGCCGAGGAGTCGGAATGTGTGAGTGCGCGCGGGCGGGGCCGGCCGGGGGGCGGGGTGTAGGTGGTGATGCGAGGCTGGGAGTTGATGGTAGATGCTGGGGCATATCGTGTTAGAGAAGAGAGCTATCCCAGTGCGGTGTGCATCCGGAGCCCCAAGGGAGGAGGAGGTGTTGGGGTGTCAAGGGGAAGGGTAGAGCCGCTGTAGATGAAAAGCGGATGTTTATTCAGAAATTGGGGTTGGAAGTGAAGAGATCGGACCTCCCTCGGCTGCTATTTGTTAAAGATGTACCTTTCCTCATCTCCCTTTTCAACCATTTTGTGTTGAGTCTTTAGCTCCCCACCCTCTGGAAATCACGGAACTAACCCATGTCATCTCCTTTCCTTCAGGAGAGTGAAGATGGCATGGAGGGCGATGGTGAGTAGCATTATGACAAGTTTTTTGCCGGTAAACTCAGATCACCTATCTTTAGCAGTTGACATCCTGTCAGACTGTTATGGATGTGGGGGAAAAGTGCCATAACGTGGCTCTTTGTAGCACAGGGCTTGTGAGCATACATTTTAGCAGTATGATGTTGGGCAAATCGCTCTTTGAGCCTGTTTCCCATTTGTAAATAGGGACCGTAATTTTATCTCCCTGATAGGTTGATGTCAGAATTGAGTTAGAGTCTTAGCTTGACTCAAAAAGCAATCAGGAAATGTATTTATAATCATTTCTGTTGCCTTTTTTTTTTCCTTACATATTTCTGTTTTGTTTCAGCTGTTCTCTCGGATTATGAAAGTGCAGAAGACTCTGAAGTGAGTGTAACAGGTTCTTTTTTCTCTGTTATCTAGGTTGGAAAATGGTTTGTTTGTTTTTAATGTATTTTAAAAACATGTACACACTCGTGGTTCAAAAGTACCATGACCCAGTTGTTACTGTTCTTGTGCATTCTTCATTTATGCTCTTCAAAAACTGTTATAAAAGGTCTTGTTTAGAGTGAGGGAAATTTGGTGCATGCCTCTTTAGGTTTCATGTGATACACTGTTAGTGTCAGTTTTTCACTCTGTTTGCGGAAAATAAGGTTCTAAATTAGAGAATGAGAACATCTTGAAGTCCTTCACGGGATCTTTGGCAGTTCCTTTTATGCTACCTACAGAATGAAACCAGGCAGTTGGATATTTTTTTTCAAGTGTGTCTGAAGACCTTAAAAGGGCAGGATTCTGAGTGGTTTGTATCAGAAACATCCCTCAGTTTATAGGGTGCTTTCTCCCTCTTAAATTCAGGAGAAAATTTCCATAAACTAAGCTTTTGTGATCTTATTTTGGTTGGATGAACTACCAGAGATGAACTACCAGGGAATGGCTGTTTGTTTCCTTGGGTTGTTGAATAAAGTCCTGAGTTCTGGATTTTGATCATGGGATTATGAACAGAAGGAATTGGATTGTGGATCAAAGGTTCATTGTGTAGATTTTGTAGGACTGTTACTGTGTATTAGATTTCCATTAAGCACTGGAAATGCAACAGTGAACACTATACCACAATTTCTGTCTTTAGGAATGACTTAGTAAGGAAGTTGGATAAACATGCAGGCAATCCTAGGACCTGGTGACAACTGCTGGGGACAGGGTTAAGTAGGGTATTAATGGCTGAGTACTGAATCCATTTTAGGTAGTCAGGAAAAAATAAGTTGGAGTTAGACAAACCATGTTCTAGGCAGAGGGAACAACAGCTGTGAAAGTCCTGACACAGGAGAGTAGACTGAATTATTTGGAAACTGATAGTTTGATGTGGCTGGAACATAATAGGTATGGGACGGATACCAGAAATAAAGGCAAATTAGTGAACAGGGGCAAGATCGTCGAGGGATTTACTTGTTCCTTTTTTTCATCATGTACCTGCTATGTGCCAGGAGTTGTGCTGAGCACTGGAATAAAAGACAGACATGGTTCTTCCCTTGTGGAGAAAATAGACAAGTAATTACAGTAATGTTTGGTGAGTGTCATAATATCGGAAGCATAGGGTGCTTTGGGAACACCTGGTGGGGGCAACTAACTGGGTTTAGGGTATTTGGAAACACAGAGGATGGGATGTTAAAATAGAGGTTTGAAGAGTGAGTGGGAGTTAGCCAGGCAGAATATCCTAAGCAGAGAGAACACTGGGAAAAAGGTCTAGAAGGAATGGACTGCATGACGATTTGGAGGATGTGAAAAGTTTAGCATGACTGGTGCTAAGTGATGAGTCTGAGTCCAAATCTTAAAATATCTTGTAGGCCAGATTAAAATGTATTTGGATTATAACGTAAGGAAGTGAGAAAGCGTAACAGGGTTTTCACCAAGTATGTGATGAATACTGATGGCTTAAATTTTATTATATTATTATTATTATTATTGTTATTTTAATGTTTATTTTTGAGAGAGCAAGACAGCATGAGTAGAGGAGGACAGAAAGAGGGAGACAGAGAATCCGAAGCAGTCTCCAAGCTCCAAGCTGTCAGCGCAGAGCCCGATGTGGGACTCGAACCCACAAACTGTGACATCATAACCTGAGCCAAAGTTGG